GTTTTTCCATCCTGTCAGCTAATTTGGCATAAACAGAAGTTTTCGTTCTTGTTTCAGAAGCAGCTTGCTTCCCTCATTGCAGGACTCTTCTGAAGCCACCTCACAGGCTCCCTGCATACACGCAGCATTTTTCCCTCTGCCCTGCAGTCTGAAATGGGGATGGCCATGCATCCCTCTGGTATGGAGCCGGAAGCAGACGTGGCCCCATCCAGGGAAGGAGCCATGCGCCCAGGCCAGGGGCACGGGGAGCACATGTGCTGCTCTCCCGAGGGGTGTCCCGGATGCCACACGTAGCAGCCCCATGGTGCCGTGCACGTGCCGGGCTGCCACACATCGCTTCGGCTCTGCCCGCAAGGAGGCCTGCGCCAAGGGGCTCTGTGCCCAGCCTGCCTCCAGCTGGGACCTCTTTTGCACTGAGTTGCAGTGGCTTGGCCCAGGTGATAAGAGGTCAGGTAACCCTGTGCTAAACTGCTGGGCTAATTCACTGCTGGGACGTTTTCCTGAAATTGCCACAAGAGTTCTTCCCTTTTTCCTTTTCATCCTAAAGCTCCTAATTATGCCCCCGAGCACTGTCCTAAATAGCTTTTTTCCCCAACAGTTCTGATATTTAATTTTTGCCAGACACACACTTTTAAGTTATTCACTGCCTCCATAATTTTTAATGATTTTTTGCCTTCCTTTATCGTTGATGAAGCCTTGCTTTCCCTCATGCTCTGTCGAAGTTTCTTGACTGCTACCAATTCATACATCTTGACGGTGCCCCTCATTTCTTCCTTAGAAGTCCAACGAAGAATTTTTTTCTCAGTTTAATATGTTCTTTCCCATCTTTTTGACTGTGGCCAACTGCCTTTTGATAGGGTTTTGCCAGGGAGGTGTAGACACATACCCCACAGCACTGGAGACAGCAAGGTCAACTCCTAAACTAGAGATAACATGCATTTCTCATGGAAATCAATTCCTTCAGAGAACAAACCAGCTTCGAGATAATCTTTACTTCTTATAGACTTAAGTTACTTATTGTATCGTCATTTAACTAATATGAATACTAAAATACTAGTTTTCTGAATTTAATTAAAAATTTAAATAAATTAAACTTAAATAATGTAATTGCTTAGGTGCCCATGCAGGGTCTTCCTGGTTAGCAAAAAGAGTTATCTAATTCACTGCAAAGACAACATCTATTTCTGCACTACCTGCTTTAATGGTTACCACTCAGAAAAGATTGGAGTTTCATTAGGATAGTAACAAACACAAGATTAAAATGGACACTTTACCTATACACTTAATGAAAAATCACAATTAAATTAAAGAGATTAAAAAAAAGTAGTCACTGGATACAGATTCCAGGGATTCAAAGTCAAGCAAGTACTTCACTGGCCATTGGGGTCCTCCATCCCACATTCCTGTCCCTAATGCAAGATACGACCTGTGTATTCAAACCTGAGAGACACACGCCCTGCGGGGGCAAGTTTTGTCCTGCGTAGGGTGAGCACTATGGTTAGCAGGCACAATCAGCCTTAATTCTTTGAATGTTGAGATTATTTGGTGTTAAACATATTCTGAAGCTTTATCATCACTTGGCATGCAGTTTCCTTCACATGTCATCAGAATGCGAGACTTGGGGAAAATAAGGTGTGCTTGTTATGGCAGGGACTTGGCTGCCTGACCTCTAAGCTCCTGTGCCTACTAGCTGCTGTAACTGCTCGTTAGGGAGCTCTCAGGGGAGGGGGCATACAGGCACTACGGAAAAGTTGTTTCTTGAGCTGGGTTTTTGTGGGGGTTGCCTTGTTGTTTTTTTTTTTCCCCTAAGTTTTAGTTAGTTAGTTAGTCAGTCAGCAAGTTGACTGCTCCTCTCTCAGCAGTGGGTCCCCACTTAGGTTTTCTCCTTTCCTGCAGGAACATCCACGATTATAATCACTTGTTAAACTCTGCTGTTTGTTACAGCATCATTATATACTTTTCTCTATTGGTACACACGCCACTAAGTCAGCTGTGGCTGGTGTACAAGCATTGCCCACGCGCCACTACCGCTAACCCCATTGGCTGCTGTCCTGCAGGCTTGCGTTCCTCCCGTACCTAACCTAACGTCTGCACCTGTTTACTTCCCTGTTATCTTCCTTTACTCTTGTTCAAGGCTCAGGGCAGGAGCTGCCTGAATCCTGTTAACTCTTTCCATCCCTTCTCTCCTTATTCCTCCTCACCCAGAGCAAATGTAGTTTTGCTATTTTGGGTATTTGTTCTCTGACTCTGATCCAGCTTCACACCTCTCAGTGGACATTGCTACTTCTAAATGCAATTGAAAGCATCTGTAAAGCGAGGGGGGCAGACATCAGTGTCAGCAGCACCCATCTGCTGCTGCACCGAGATGGAGGAGCTGGGTATTTCCTACATGAAGAAAATGTAATTGTCCTAATCACTCATTACTACATGCTCCCTGCTACAAGCTTTAGAAGTGGGACTTTCACTACTCAGTTTAGGTTTGCTTGCACAGCAACGGGGAACAACAGATGCCTTTTGCTCAGGTGAGCCAAAGGCTTGCCAAAGGACACAGGGTGCCACCACCACAGCCAGAGCTGCTGAGGCAGAGCCGTGCCTTTCTCTGGCTGTGCCCCATATCAGCTACCGCTGGGTGCTTTGAGAAAAGGATGCTTTTGCCATGGCTGGCTGTGATGGCATTAGGTGTCAGGGACAAGCACGTAACAACTAATGCAAACACTGCAGTGCAACAAGTGGGTCAAACCTGTGTGTGCAAAACATTGCCAGCATTATTTAGAAAAAATTCCCATCTCCTGATCACAGACTTGATGACAGGAGTGCTGCCACACCAAGGAGCTGATTGCAGCAACAGGACATTGCAAAAGGCCAGCCAGAGCCGCTGTGAGGTACCGTGGAAGGGAAGGCAGGAGTGATGGACGGCCTGAGGTCTGCAATACACAGGGCCATTAGGCAACAGAGGAGCGAGGAAATGCACCGCAGCTGTCGAGGCAGCATGGGGAAATGCAGTGTGTTTAGGCATTGGCTTAGAGCAAGGTAGCAGCAAACATATGTGGCTGCTGGAGAGTGCAAGGCAGATGTGACTGAGGAGCATATGGGCCATTGCTCTTGGGCTGGCGGGGGGGTGGGCAGTGAGACTGTGGTCAAAGACACAGTTTTACAGCTGTGTCAGTCCACTGGAATAAATAAAGTGATAATGTGTGCTAATCAATACATGAATTATAGCAGTAAGTCAATTCTAGTGTTACAGAAGATTTAAAAAAAAAGAAAGCCCAAGAAAAGGATACTTTAGATTCTTTCAAAACCTCCCCTTGCTCTTGCCTCTCCAGCAGCCCCCAGCAGCCTCCCAGCCCAGAGTAACTGCTCCCCATGTGCTTACCATCATGCATGCCCAGCTTCACCCTCTCCTCCAGGAATCCTTCATTCCCCACTTCCAGGGAAGCTGTAGGAGAGAGCTGCCTTCTCCCCTCTCCTCTCCTGGCTGGGCACCTAAAGGAAGGGCTGGGATGCAGGGGAGCACCTTACTGCTGACAGGAAGGGAGCACAGCTGGCTGTGATTGCTGCAGGATTATTCCTCCTCCTCCTCCTCCTCCTCCTCCAGATGGTGTTGGCTGCCTGAGAGAAGAGAAAGGGCAAAACCTCCAAGCTGCCCAAGGAGCCTCACTTGGCTGCTCTCCTCTGGAGCTGTTGTTAGAAAAGGTGTCCAGCCAAAGCATCTCCCTGATTCTAACATCTCATTATGCCTTTCTTCCCTGCAGGTCCCTCCCTTGCTCACTCCTTTCTCCTTTCTTTTATTGCCAGTCATTCAAGCTGTGCCTTTTGCCAGCCCTTGCCTCCCTGAGGGTGGCTATGCCACTTTTCTGGGACCTGCTGTTCCATTCTCACACCTCTTTTCTATCCCTGTTTACCCCAGTTCCTCCACTCAGTCTTGTGCCATGGGGTTCCGATTTCCTTGATAATTAGATATTTCTACTGTTTGTCAAAATCATTAAGTTTCCAAAGCATTACTCGAAAGTTTTGAATTGAATCAGTGTGCCTTTTGCCATTGATCTTCTCTGATTTTCCTATGCACAAGGTAGTGAAGAACGAGAGCCAGGCGGGTGTCATGGAGGCACCATTCAGCCACAAGCAACGCCACTGCCTCGTCAGAAACCCTAATGGAAGAGGGACTGTTTAGAGTTAGGAGGATTACAGCATAGAGAATTCTAATAATGCCAAACCAAACTCAGTGCCAATGCCATTTTTTTTGGCCAGAAATTGCAGAAATGGAGAAATCAATATTTGTAAGGACTGTGCACCCGCCCAGGGACAGCTACTCCATCAGGGCCATGCTGGGAAGCGCTCCTGGGGAAAGACCGTCAACAGATGGAGTATCTCCATCAGAGGGGCCACACCAAGGCTGATGACAAGTGATTTTTTTAATGGATTGCTTAATCAGAGTTCATCAGTTTTTTTCATTATTATTGCACATGGTGCCATGGTTGAACCACGGCCATGAACCCCAGCAGGCAGCTAAGCAATGTTTGCAGGGCAGGCCAAAGCACTTGCACCAGTGCTGAACACTTTAAGCACAAAGCAAGTGTTCTATGATGTATCTGCATACAAAACTCAGTGGTGTATCCATCTACTCTGGGCAGCTACAACTGTGTAATGGTAAACTGCAATTCCAGTTTGTACACAGGTAATTATAATGATATACACATAAAATATGAAGTAGTAGATGGCGTGACAATACTTTTTTGGTTTGTTTAAGAGTTCTGAAGCATTCTTGAGAGGCAACTTGGACAATGAAGAAAGAAATTTTCAAACTAAAGAGGACTTCATGGGAACTGTAGCAAAGTGTCACGCTCCAAAGTATGTAGATCAGAATGGTCTTGTCAAAACTGGCAAAACTCTAACTCACTTGTTTTAAGTTAGAGGTTGTTCAGGGTTAAAGTGCCAATGTAAAAAATGAAACAAACAGTATTTTTGAAACATGTCTGTTAAGTAAAATAAGTAACTTAATGTTAGAGTTCTAAAAGCAAAATTTAATAAATTAATATATGCATGCCAGATAAAAATACAAAATTACAATTGAAATAGCAATAATAATAAAGGAACACCGTTCAGCATTGCAGTTTTCACTGCAACCACCATAAACATCATGGAGAATTACTTAAAGTAACATTTAAAGTACACATTTTGTTTCTGTTAAAAACAAATTACTGCATGATGAAAAAACTGAAAAAAAACAAGAAGAAATCAGCCCCAAAAGTGGCAGAGAATGATATGAAATGTCAATAAACTGCCAGAGGCTCCACTTCACGTAAGTTGGCCTTCTTTTTAGTATCAGAAACCAATTACATAGAACATAAAAGCAAATTCACAACAGGTTTACACGGAGAAACATGCTGAATTACAATCACAAACTATCCAGAACAAAGATGCTGCACCAGTTCAGTTGTTTTCTTCATGGAATGAGTCTCACCAGAACAGGGAGAACAGGGAGCAAATCATGCAATAGCTTTAGGCTTTTTTGTTATTTATTTTACCATGATAAACACCCAGGATTACTAGTACTGGAAAGTATGTGTTAACCTTTTTCAACATCAGCTGAATGGCACTACAGAAACGACAAAGAGTTCCTTCATTTTTACCCTGAATACATCGAAAGCTCTAGCAAATATGGAATTGAGCGACAAGAGCCATTAAATTACTTTAAAATATTCCTTTCCATCCATAGAACACTGTTGCTTCCTTTTTTTATTACAAAACCCCCAAAATATTCAAAATAAAATGTCTTCATTTTTTATAAGCATCTCCACCACAAGTCTCTGATAACGGATGTCATTCAATGCAGCCATCGCATCCAGTTCTGGCGCTCTCATAAGAGTTGGTCCAAAAACTATGCCCAGATTCTCTGCACTCATCAGATTTTCCTTTTCATGGAGTGTTACTCTGTAAAAAAAGGACAGTTTTTCACATTCCTTCTGTGCCAAACTATGCCTGCATATGCTTGAAAACCAGGGAAACTGGACAGAAATGTTTGCCTGTCCCTAAAGCCTAGGAGAGGCTGCCATATCAGCAGGATACATATGGAGGCGTTGGGTGAAACACTCAGAAGTTAGTGAGCGCAAACGCTGTGTGGGTTTACGGTGAGTCAGATGTCTCTGTCCTCCAACCACACACACAGATCATGTTTACTTGCAAGGGAGACTGGTACTTTGTGGTGAGGGAGGGGGCTGAGGGGTGAATTCAGACAAATCAGAACAATTTTGCTTTTACTCTTTACACCATTCAGAGGCTGTTCCTATGGGGAGCAGACCATGTTTATTACGTTAGCAGTTCTGTGGCCACTAGAGAGGTGCTATCGGGCCCGCCCAGGTGGGATTCTGCCCAGGTTCCCCTGGTGGCATGGCTCCATGTGGTCACACTGTGCCTCTCGTACATATGATGGCAATGGGGGTGAAGCACATCACATGCAAATTCCCTGCCTTTAGGCACCACAGGCCAACCGTGCTAAGCAGGACGCCTGGTTCCTCTTCAAGACAAACTATGTCCTGTGGTTCGTATGAAAAAAAAGTGAATCCTAACTTTGGGGTGTCTTGGAAACCACCGGGGTCTCACAGTAACCTCATTTGCACGGCAGTCTGCGCAGGTCATTACACCTGTGCTCTGACAGGCCCACTTCCACCCGTCCCTCTTCTGAGGTCCTTAGCAGCTGCTGAACAGCCAAGCCCCCAGCCCAGGGAAGCCTCCCGCCGCCTGGTCCCCATCTGCAGAGGAGGAGGAGGAGGTGGGGACGCCACATTGTGCTGCCCCGCAGGAATCTGACCTGTTCAAAGCCATGGGCTGAGGCCCTGCTGCGGGGCAGCATCGCAGGCCACCTCCAGAAATGTAATTTGCCCAAGAATTATACCTACAGGAGAGGCATCTGCAGAAACATGTCTGCTCAGCAAATGCCAGATGGGTCACTGCTGCCCAACCACAACGCTCTCTGGGGTCATGGGACAGTATTTCTTAATGTGGGCTCAGAGGCATCTTGTGCTCTCCTGCGCCGCTCTGCCTCAGCACGGAGAACGTAGGGTCCCGTATAGGGCGGGGCGGGAGGAGGACAACCTGCCTGGGGTATCCTGACACTGACTGCACCCATCGCTGCTGCCCACTGCAACGGACACAGAAGACAAAAACACGCCTCGAAGCCTAAGCTTCTGCCTTGCTTCATCTTGGTGAAGTGCCTCGCTCAAGGAAACAAACCTAGATTACGCAAATATTTTAATACACCCTATGGTTTAAAGAATCCATAAGGATTCTCAGAAACAACTAGGAATCCAGGGACAGCAACTGAAAGGGTCTGGCTAAATTATTTCTCTTTTCACCACCATGGCATCTCGCATTGCAAGAACAAATCCTTTGGTATCTGAAAAAACCTTTGAGATTTTTCTTCCTTTTTTCCCCTTCTGCCTTAACTTTTATTTTAAAACAAGTCACACTGATGTTTCCAAGCTGCTGTGTCTTCAGTCTGTAATTATTCCAGATAAAGGAGCTGTGTCTGATTATCTGAATTCAGCTGCCAGACAACAGCCTGTCGAGCACCACAGCACTTTTTAGCAAATGTATTGAAAGGAAATTTAAAAATGAGTGAATTTCATCACCCTTCTACTTTATCATTCACCTATACCAGAAATACAATGTGCAAAAGCAACTTGCTAACTAGAGCAGCAACAGCTACTCTTGAACAGGCTAAGGAAAAATTAACTTCATACTTCACAAGCAGCGAGGTGGGGGTTTTTTATTCCCACGTCTCATCATCCCTGTGTCTGTTCTAAACATCCATTAGAAATGTCATTGAAATAAATGGACAAATCACGCAGAAACCCTGTAGCTGAATTTTGCCTGAGGCACTCAGCAGAGTCAACATATTCCTACTTGTAGAAGAACTATAAAAGGAAAAAAAGGGGAAGACAGCTTAAAATAAAAGTATTTTTCTAAGGAAAGGGAATGACTCTTACATATTGACAATAAGTTCATGTTACTTGAGAAACTAAAATGGGTACCCTAACATGCCACATTGATTTTTTTTTTCCCTGCTTTCCTGAAAGAAATACAACTTGTGCTGTTGTACCAGATATTCATCTGTCACTCTCTCTTTCTAGCAATTTTTCAGCCTACTGACAAATTTCAATCATGTCTCGGGGAGCAGGAGAAACCTCAGACAGAATTCAAGCTCCTATGGTTTTGCAAAGGCGGCAGGTGGAATGAGGGGCTCCACACTGATGAGGAATGGCTGGCAGACCTCACCAGACATGTGGCTGGAGGGCCAACTAACACTGTGCCTAATCGGCGTCAGCTCAAGCCTAGTGTGTGCTGTCTTTTTTAGGGTGTCAGGGATGACCAGGGTAGACAAGACTTAAAAGCAGAAAAAGCCACCAGTCTATAGCCACTAAGCTGTATTAGTTCCTTTACCAGGGAGTGACTTACTATTCTCACAGGTACGAATGGCTTTTTATACCATAAATATTCACTATAAACTTAAATACAGAGCAAATTTGTTGGGCAGATGACTTTTGTCCCCCAAAACCGTGGGGTTTTTTACTTATTTCTTTTAAGTGCTTTGCAAGTGCTTTAAGTGGGATAAACTCCAGTGTTTGGGCATTCGCTGTTGTGCAGACTATCATTCCCCATTGGTGGGCCTTGCCCAGACTTTTCTGGAGGTCTTAACGCCGACTTTGCTAAAAATGAGTTTGGCTTAGAGTTCTTTCCAGCTAGTCTACCTACCTCTTCAGATGTGCCATGAGATACCGTAAAGTTTCACAGTGTGCAGGCGGCAGCAGTTTCAGCGCCTCATGGAGAATTTCCAGCTGTTCATCCGGATCGGTGGTTTCTGAAACACAGATGTTCAACTGTCACCACATGTACAGCCAGAATTCACACACAGAAAGGTAACAACAGTGGCCTGCAGAGAAGACAGGGTCTAACAGCTCTGCCGGATTACTGATTTCCAGAACCTATCCAAACCTCATAGTGGAGGATTTGCCTGTCCAAAGATGTACTCGGAGCGCTGTCAGGATGTGACTGGTTTTGGACAAAGAAAACTCCCCAAAGCAAACTGCACTCCACCAAAAGATTCCCTGCAGCCTACTAAAAAAAATTCCCCTGGCGGTCCTTGCTGACTGGACTAGTTTTGTACAAGTAATCTACAGGTGCAGCCCTGGGACAGCAGAAGGTACTGGGAACTTTGCCATCAGCGTCTTTGGCTGTGTCCATACTACTTGGAAAGAGCCTTCTCCAGAGGAGCAGCCCTTTCCAGGTGTGGCTGGTGTGACTGCTACATTGCAGAGATGCTTCAGGCAGCCAGGATGCTTGGGAGAGATGTTCCAGCTGGGCTTACTGCCATGCTTGCAGACTCACTGTCTGCAAGGCCAGCCTTGAAGTTGGCCCCAGGATGAGTGCTTATCAGCTTAGAAAACACTCAAAACGGACACTTCTATAAACAAATGACCTTATTTCCAAAGATTTTCGTAAATCACCGTCTTTCTGGCAACACAAAACCAACACACTTTAAATGTCACTGTCAAGTACCAGGGATTCATGCAAGACATGTGTGATGAAAAGGAAGCATTCCTGGTGACAAAGGACAAGAAAAATGTAACCATGGTCACACAGCACCACATGGTCATGTAATGTGCAGTGTATATTTTCTCCCGCAATCCTTACTAAATAGGGCATGCAGGGTAAGAGCTGATGGGACAGCTATTATATGAATAGGCAAGTACTGCACAAAAAGGAGAAGAAACAGTTGAGAATGAAAACCAGGAGGAAAATGAGTTACACTTACTTGCTGACTCTATAAACTTTGGGTAGGCATCATACGTGATGAGTGGAATTGGCAAATCCCTGAAGTACAGTTTAAGTGCACCAGTGATAATATTGATATCTTCATACATATTCACAGAAATATCAGCTTTTTCTCCATCTGTGTGGAGAAGGCACTGACATTAAAGCCTTGGAAATGTAAACATGTAAAACAGCATTCAAAAGAAAAACAGTAACTTGCTTAAGCAAACATTACTAAGAAGGACACAACTACAGATTTTGGCTTTTATAAGCAAAACAGAGATACTGGACTGTGAAGTTCATTGTTTCAGGGTGAAAACCTCAAGCATTTTATAAAGAAACTTAGTCTTTCTTTGTTTCAAATGATTACAAAAAATGCAGAGTTGGTTTTGGGTTTTTTTTTTTTTGAAAAACCTGCCTGCCTGATCTAGCAGTATCTATCTTGTATGAATGTGTGGAAGTTTAGCTATTTCTGAACACACTGGATTGCCAAACAACACTTTTGTCAGCACTGAGTAAGAAATCAGGGGAGTCTAGGAAAAAAAAGTAAAAGAAAGAAAACCAGTTTAGTCCACAGCCTCCTCATTTTATAGGAAAAATGTGTGTTCACCATTTAGCTACAGCATACTACCTACTCCTGACCGCAGTGGACACACATTCAGAACTCGGCTTCTCCAGCACACCCCCGCCCTGCTAACACTGCAGAGGAGACAGATGTTGTCTGAGTAGGTCCAGTCCTCTGGAGAAACAGGAGAGAGCTTCCAGCATGGATTTTGGCTTTGATTTCCACTGTGATAGGGGGACTACTGCTGGAAAGCCTTTAATTTTCCCATTGCCTTTTCTCAGAGAGAAGAGTTTGTTCTTACCGACCTTCTTTGAGGCTGTAGTAATTCAAACTTTGTTTGCATTACTGTATTAATCTTATTATTTCGGAGCTTTGATCCAGAAACACGCATTTAAATTGCACAGACCTCTTAAGGCACTTTACCACTTGCCCTCTGTCCCTTCCCCACCCCCTGAGCACAGTTCTACTTGCAAACTAGGGCAGTAGTTCAGGAAGCTTTGTTCTTTCTTATGCACATCATTACTGAGGCACAGATACTGAAGGAAGGAGAAAAGTAGATTTTGGTAATAAAGGCCAAAGTGAAGCTGTTATGTTTTTCTGACAGGGAGACTCCCCTTCTGCTAGCACTGCTGCCGGACTCCTCCAGACCACTGATGCAGTGGAGCATGAGACAGACAGAGGCTATGCAGAAAAAATGTGTATATTTAATACATCAGCACAAAGTTCCAGCATGCTGGAAAGACTGTACCTCTGTCAAATGCCATTTTGACGTCTTCAATAAGATCACTAAATCCTGAGACTCTGTATAGTCCTTCAGAATTAAGACCTGCAATGAACATTTTAACAAGATTGAAATTAAGTCTTAATTTTACAGTTTCCTTCCATCCAGTTCTTTCTTTGCCAGGTTCTTCATTTAAGGCAGAAAAAGCAGACACGTTTCAAAAGCCTTATCAGGCTTTTCTTTCAGAATGAAATCTTATCCTGGCCTTTTAACCCTGACCCTTGCATTAGCTGCCTTGTTACATCAGCACTAAATTATGTTTACGCAAATGATTTCAGAGCTGAAGAAACATATTAAACCAATTACGACCAATTTAAAAATAACTGAGATTAGCATACTTGATGTTCAGTCATGATTTCAGAATGAAAACAAATACTCTAATTCTAGAAAAGAATACTCAGTGTGGGCTAGGGGAACTAGCAAGAGGGAACACATCAATACTAACTGCCTTTACTTTAGCACATTCGCTTAATTTTTTTTAATAAAAATATTACTGGAAAGATAGGTGCGAACATAGAACTATAAAGCAGTAATTGTCCATTAAGCAATTTCTAGCACAATCTATAAAAATTATAAATGGGTATGAACCATGAAATAGTGCAAAGTATAATATTAGCTGTGCAGGGTAATTTGCAGTCATAAAATGTCTTGTGCAAATCTGTTTTGAGCAATCATATATTGAGCAGAAACCCAGATGACCCAGATCAATCTAAACGGATTATCAGTAAAGCAACAGAAGTCCATTAACCATGCCTTACCTCTAGATTCAATTTCCCTAATGCACATATCTACTACCATTGGTCTCTTAGTGAAGTGCGCTTTTACTAGCGTTGTAAGGTCACAGCTGTATACTTTTTTGACATGCTTCAGGTCTGGCTTGCAGTCATTTGGGACCATCTTGGAACATTGCTTGTGCACATTTAAACCACAATCTGAGGGAAAAATGAAAAGATGATTAGGCTGGTGCTTGGTGAAAACGTATCGCGAGGTCAGTACTGCGGAGTACGTACGGCTCCTTCCGGATCTGACCTGATCTTGCAACTACTACTTTTGTTGAGACCCCTTAACCATCAAATGCGTGAGGTAGGGACAGACCTGAAGTAAGACAGATTTTCTACCCAAGGACATTTCTTTTATCGCTATAAGATCTAACACAGAGTGACAAACTTTCCATATGTTTTTTTTGAATCAGGATCTAAGGGGAAATTATGTTCCCCACCGCTATTACATATGTTGCTATGATGATCTAAACTCTCTTCCCAAGTTGCTGCGGATTTCCTAACACTTACAGCTCTAATGTATTCCTGGACTGTGGCACTTAAAGACACCTCCTGGGGGAGATGAAGGTAGGGACTAGGTCTCAGAGGGCTACAACCCCTCTGCAGCGTGCGTTGGCAAGGCAGACCCGAGATCCGAACCACTTCGGGGAGCCCTACGCTCTTGCCAGGTGTGCCAGCCCACGCTCAGTGTTGCTAGTGACAGGGCCCATTCCCCAGCTTGGAGGGGAGCTGAAAAACAGACACAGGGGTCACCAAGCCAGTTGGTGGTTTATTGCTACCACGCAGTTTACAAAGGACCTTGCTAAGCCACAGCAGCTGCAATTCTGATGCCATTTCATAGGGTGTTTCTGAAATAAAGTGTTGGCAGGCAACAAAACAATTCCATTTATTTAAAAAATTACTTACGAAAAATTTGTTGTGTTTTTTTTTAATCATAAACAAACAACTCCACAGCTTTATTATAAACATACTCAGAATGAGATTTCCTTTAAGTGAAACTTAATTGAAATCAGGTTATAGAAAAAAGTTTGTTCTGCCTAGAAAACACTCAAAACATAACGCTCAGGGTTTGGGACGGAAAAATCTGAGAATACACCACCCATTACACAGTGAAGGTGGGAAGAGCAATACAGTCCCCTTTAAGCTAAGCATACACTGCCATCAACACTATCAGGCAGCAGGAGCAGGCCTGCGTATGGAGCAGCCTCCCGTGCTGCCCCCAGTGACTCCGTTCTCACTGCCATTTCTCCTCTTTTGCAACGCAGACCCATGGGTGCTTGTGAGGAAACAGCAACCAGCAAGAAAGGCAGCAGTTCGTGGTCAGGGTGTTTGCCATGCCCTGACATGCACCCAGTATACACCGAGACTCCAGTTCTGTAAGCACCTCTGTACCTCGTTGCATTGCCATTCAGAGTCCCCCAGATTTCTGCAGAATGAAGGGATGCAGGAGCTTGAAGGATCAACACCTTAATGTACTCCCCTCTCCCACTGCAGTATTGAGTATCTATCTACATAGATTTCCTTCGTATTTCGTTCCTGCAGATTTTGCCAATACCTGTATTTTCATTCATGCTCCACAGATTATCTGATTTTTGGTCTTTCCAAAACAGTAAACCCCAGAATTCATCACTAAGTTTAATTTCCACTAAATCAGCTGCAGCCTGCTGCTAAAAGCACTGTGTTTACTTAATAGGCCTGTAAAGCAATCAGCTTTGTCACTTAGGATCCTCTGTGAAACATCCAGTCTCTGGTTACAATTAAAATTCAGCATGTCACCTTCAATCAGTCAAAACTCGCACAGATCCTGATCCAGATGAAAAGGCTGATTAAAATTCTCTTTAGCTATTTCTGTGCAGGAACAACTCCCTTCCGTGCTAGGAGTGGTTAACACACAAGATGGGAGCTGCGAATGCTGAATATCCCACCTGGCTGTGATTTTATATTGTGAACCCCACCTTGGGCAAAGTCATGCAACGTAATACCCAGCTCCCTGTAAACAAGCAGTACCACTGGGGGTACCATGGGTGCCCACCCTGGTCAGCCTCAGTGCCGTGCTTTGACCCACAGCCCTCTCCTGGGCTCTCCCCAGAAGCTGCACATCACAGCTGGTTGTCCCAGAGCCCCAGGCAGTGGCAGGG